ACTGCAGCCTCGACCTCCTGGGCTCAAGCCATCCTCCCACCTCAGCCTCCTGAGCGGCTGGGATGACAAGTGTGTGCCACCACGCCCAGCTAATTTTTTTTTTTTTTTTTTTTTGAGACGGAGTTTCACTCATGTTACCCAGGCTGGAGTGCAATGGTGCGATCTCGGCTCACCGCAACCTCCGCCTCCTGGGTTCAGGCAATTCTCCTGCCTCAGCCTCCTGAGCAGCTGGGATTACAGGCACACGCCACCATGCCCAGCTAATTTTTTGTATTTTTAGTAGAGACGGGGTTTCACCATGTTGACCAGGATGGTCTCGATCTCTTGACCTCGTGATCCACCCGCCTCGGCCTCCCAAAGTGCTGGGATTACAGGCTTGAGCCACCGCGCCCGGCCTTAATTTTTAAAACTTTTTGGTAGAGGCCAGATGTGGTGGCTCACGCTTGTAATCTCAGCACTTTGGGAGGCTGAGGTGACTGAATCACCTGAGGGCAGGAGTTCGAGACCAGCCTGGCCAACATGGTGAAACCCCATCTCTACTAAAAATACAAAAATTAGCCAGGCATGGTAGCAGGCACCTGTAATCCCAGCTACTCAGGAGGCTGAGGCAGGAGAATCACTTGAACCCGGGAGGCGGCGGTGGCAGTGAGCCTGGATTGCACTATTGCACTACAGCCTGGGCGGCAACAGCAAAACTCCATCTCAAAAAAAAATTTTTTTTTTTTTTTTGTAGAGAGTGTTGGGATTATAGGTGTGAGCCACCGTGCCCAGCCCACTGTTAGGAGTTTTGATCAATGTCGGGAAGCCTCTGAGGAATTCTCTATCCTCCAAGCTATGAAACTCCTGCCCTGCCCTCAGAAGTGCTCTCTGTGTGGCAGAGAAAGAGCCAGGGTCTGGGATGGCTGCAGGCAGCTCCCAGGATCAGGAAGAGCTCATGGCGTAAGCAGGCTCAGGAAGACCCTTCCCCAGACCCAAGTCCCCCACTTGGGCCCTTGACCCCAGACCCAGGACCCAGCATCAACTCTGACCTTGTTCCCCACCTCCTCAGCCAGATCCTGGGCTCTCTCGATGGCGTCCAGAGCCTGAAAGGTGAGCACAGGCCAGGGCTGCGGGCAGGGCCCTGTGACAGAGGCCTTCCTCACAGGGAAGCACGGGGGAGGGGGCGGACCTGGGGAGGCGACATGGCAGCAGGAAGAGACTGGGGCACAGTCACCATGGCTGTGTGGGCAAGGAACCTCCTGCCTCAGTTTACCCAGCAGTCTGGGTTCCGATCCCAGCTCCAGCCCTTTACTAGCAGTGGGTCCCAGGGCAAGAGATGGGCCTTCTCTGAGCCTGGAAAATGACCAGGAGTGTTCTGGCCTCATGGGATCAGGGTGAGGCTGACGTCAGACGAAGTGGGTAAAAGAGTCAGCTAACCTACTGGCCCCGAGTGCGGAGCGCTGGGAGGGCTGCAGGCTGTGGGAAAGGCCCGACCTCACCTTGTCCAGCGCCTTCCTGGCCACCCAGCACTTGGCCACACCCAGCAGCGCCTGCACCTGCCCTAGGCGGTTTCCGATTTCGGTCATGATGCTCATGGCGGAGTCGTACCTGGGAAAGGCCGTCTGCAGGGCCAGGTGGGGGATGGAATCAGGCTGCAGCAGGCCTGTACCACTGCCCCCCGCACCTCCAGCCCCTGCATCCCGGGCCTGACCTCCAGGTCCCCACGGCTCCGATGGATGTCAGCGAAGCAGAGTAGGCAGAGCGCTTGCAGTGGCCGGTCCCCGTGCTGCAGCGCGATCTTCATGGACTCCTGTAGCCAAGGCCAGCGGCTCAGGCCTGCTCTTCAGCCACCACCACTCTGCCCCCCTCAGCGGGCCCCTCTAAAGACACAGCCCAGGGGACCAACATCCTCAGAGCCTACCGCATCGATCATGGTGCTGAGGCCTCACACACTGAACCGCTGAAGTCACAGCACTCAGCGAGGTGGGTGGAAAGTGAGACTCAAAAAGCGACTTGACTGAGGTCAACCAGTAAGTGACAAAGCTGGGATGTGAACCCAGGCCGTGGGACTCCAGAGGCTGGCTCTCTCCCCTCTCTGCTCTTCAAAGTACCCCATATTGGGTGTTGGAGACAGAGGGAAGCCCCCTCCCCTGCAGATGGACTGGAAGGGAGTGGGGTTTGGGATGAGGTTGGGGGCAAATGTTTCAATCAGGGGCTCAGGTGTAGAGAGGCTGGGCCAGGGGCAAGCCCTGGAGAGCCCCCAGGGGTTGACTTGGAAGAAGGAGGCCCTGCTGTCCTAGGCCCCAGCCCCTGGCCCACACTGCCTCACCCCCCACTGCCCCCTTGCCCACTGCCGCACCTCACAACACTCCATGGCACTGCCCAGGTGGCCCAGCAGGCGATAGGCCACGGCCATGTGGTACTGGCTCATGGCCCGGTACTTCAGGCTCCAGCCTTTGCCATAGTCGTTGACGAGCTCTGCGGCCTTGCAGGGGAAGAACAGGGCTTTCTCATAGTCCTGCAGGGGACGTGGGATGGAAGGAGGCACACTGAGTGGCAGAGGCTGCCCCAAGTCAATAGATCATGGGCCAGGCTTCTCTAACAGCAGGTAGGAGCAGGGGGGCCCTATTGTCTGTTCATTCACTGTGGCGTCCTGAACAAGAGTGACCCAGGCCGGCCAGGCGCGGTGGCTCACGCCTGTAATCCCAGCACTTGGGGAGGCAGAGGTGGGTGGATCACAAGGTCAGGAGTTCGAGACCATCCTGGCCAATGTGGTGAAACCCCGTCTCTACTAAAGATACAAAAAATTAGCCGGGCATGGTGGCAGACACATGTAGTCCCAGCTACTCAGGAGGCTGAGGCAGAAGAATTGCTTGAACCCAGGAGGCGGAGGTTGCAGTGAGCTGAGATCGCTCCATTGCACTACAGCCTGGGGGACAGGCGATACTCCATCTGAAAAAAAAAATAAAAAAAGAGGGAACCCAGGTAGAGGGAACAGCCAGTGCAAAGGTGTGCGCTCCATGGATGCACGGATTTTCATCTGGTTTGTGACGCATCCCAAGAGCCTAGCACAGTTCTTAGCACTTGGTAGACACACAAGAAATATTTGTTGAGTGAATGGATAAAAAGGCAAGAAAATACAGTTGGCTTCTCTTTTCTCCCAATGCCAACTGGGCTCCTCAGCTTCAGAGACGCACAGGGATGGGGAGACACCAGATCCCTCCACTGGAGCTTGCCCGCTGGCACCCGGAAGCAGGTGTTCACTGAAGCTCAGCAGCAGATTGGCAGCACAACAGGCTCAAAAGAACATCAGACAGACAGCGAGGCGATGCAACTCTGCTCATACTTTCTCCTCAAGCTTCCAAATGCCTTTTCTACCTGGCCACAGTCAGCTGATGACCTCACCTCATCACTCCATGAGGGAAAGGAAGAAAATCAGGGAGAAGCTCCTTCCCCTCCTGTCTCCACCAGATCTCCCACCTCCGCACCTCTGCTCCCACGCTTGCTTTTCCCGTCACTGTGGAGGATGGCTCCTGTTCGCATCAAATGCCAGCCCCCCTCCACAAGCAGTCTCTGCATCATCAAGTTCTCTCTTTCCACTGAATCGTTCCCATCCATGTGCAAACACATCTGGCATTTCTCATCTCATTTAATAAAGAAAAACTGGGCCAGGTATGGTGGCTCACGCCTGGAATCCCAGCACTTTGGGAGGCTGAGACAGGAGGATCACTTGAGCTCGGGCGCTGGAGATCAGCCTGGCAACATAGTGAGACCCTGTCTCTACAGAGATAAAGTTAGCTGTGCATGGTGGTGCACGCCTGTAGTCCCAGCTACTCGAGAGGCTGAGGTGGGAGGATCACTTGAGCACAGCAATGGAGGACAGTGAGCTGAGCCTGGGTGACAGAGGCAGACCCTGTCTCACAAAAAAAAAAAAAAAGGAAAGAAAAAAGAAAACTAACCCATCTTCTCTTGACCTCATTTCCCTTCAGCTAAAGCTCCATTTCACTGTTCTTTTTCAAGGTAAATCTATTTGATCTTTCATTTAATATTTAATAAGCAGAGAAACTGCATGACCAAAAGAGAACTGTCAATAACCTCAATAAAAACCTTTCCCTTATATGCCTTATTATATATTTTAAAATTTGAAGCAGCCGGGCACGGTGGCTCAAGCCTGTAATCCCAGCACTTTGGGAGGCCGAGGCAGGTGGATCACAAGGTCAAGAGATCGAGACCATCCTGGTCAACATGGTGAAACCCCGTCTCTACTAAAAATACAAAACATTAGCTGGGCATGGTGGTGCGTGCCTGTAATCCCAGCTACTCAGGAGGCTGAGGCAGGAGAATTGCCTGAACCCAGGAGGCGGAGGTTGCGGTGAGCCGAGATCGCGCCATTGCACTCCAGCCTGGGTAACGAGTGAAACTCCGTCTCAAAAAATAAATAAATAAATAAATAAAATAAAAAATAAAAAATAAAATTTGAAGCCATATAAATGTTTTACAGGTTAAAAAAATAAATTTAATTTAAAAAATACCTAAAAATAGAAAATGGAGATGAGGTGCAATGGTTCATGCCTGTCATCCCAGCACTTGGGGAAGCTGAGTTGGGAGAATTGCATGAGGTCAGGAGTTCAGTATCAGCCTGGGCAACATTGCAAGACCGCTGTCTCTACAAAAAATTTAAAAAGTAGCCCGACGTGGAAGAATGTGCCTGCAGTCCCAGCTACTGAGGAGGCTGAGGAGGGAGAATCGATTGAATACATGAGTTCTAGGTTACAGTGACCTGTGATTGAGCCACTGCACTCCAGACTGGGTGACAGAGCAAGACCCTGTCTCAAAAAAAAAAAAAAAAAGTAAGTCCGGGCACGGCGGCTCATGACTATAATCCCAGCACTTTGGGAGGCCAAGGCAGGTAGATCAGCTGAGGTCAGGCGTTTCAGATCAGCCTGGCCACCATGGTGTTTCTACTAAAAATATAAAAATTAGCTGGGTGTGGTGGCGGGCACCTGTAATCCCAGCTATTCGGGAGGCTGAGGCAGGATAATCGTTTGAACCCAGGAGGCAGAGGTTACAGTGAGCCGAGATGTGTCACTGCACTCCAACCTGGGTGACAGGAGCAAAGCTCTGCCCCTGCCCCCCCACAAAAATACCCAGGGTCGCCCTGCACGGTGGCTCATGCCTGTAATCCCAGCACTTTGGGAAGCTGAGGCGGGCAGATCACGAGGTCAAGAGCTCGAGACCATCCTGGCCAACATAATGAAACCCTGTCTCTACTAAAATATAAAAATTATCTGGGCGTGGTGGTACACGCCTGTAGTCCCAGCTACTCGGGAGGCTGAGGCGGGAGAATTGATTGAACCCGGGAGGCGGGGAGGTTGCAGTGAGCCGAGATCGAGCCACTGTACTCCAGCCTGGCGCCTGGCGACACAGCGAGACTCTGTCTCAAAAAAAAAAAATACCGAGGGTCAGAACCTCCAGTCACTGACCCTGTCAGTTCCTTCATAGCTGTTCTTCCTCCTCTCACCTCTCTACCTGAGATACACCTGGCGGCCATGCTGGGCTCTGTCCTTCCTGGAACATTCCAGGTGTGCTCCCCCAGGGTCCAGCTTGGCTTTAGGGGTTCCCTCATTTTTGCCTAGAATGTTCTCTCACCAGATTTCTGCATGACACAACTTCTCATCTTTAAGCCATCAAACATCACCTCCGTGAGGCCCTCCGACCACCATGTTAAATTATGATGCCCCCATGCCCTGTGCTGCCAGCCCCTTGCCCTGCTTTGCTTTCTCCTAGCCACTCGACTTCCTGACTATGTTGATTGTCTTTCTTCCCTAACTAGAATGCAACCCTCATGAGGACGGGGACTTGGCTGTTTTTCTCACTGTTGGCCCAAGACTGGGCCAACAGTCTTGGGATATAGTAGATGCTCAGTAAATATTTGGTAGCTGAATCCATACAACCCCACTGTAAGGTGAGTCCTGTTGTCCTTTATTTTACAGATATCTTTCGCAAGGTTCAGAGAGGAGAGGTGGCTTGCCCAAGACCACACAGCATGCAGGGGAGGCTGCTGGCCTGTCCTCACACAGGAGGCTCCCATGATTCCTCCAGGAAGTCAGACAGATTAAGGTTTGAATCCTGGCTCTGCCCTTGCTGGTTTCCTGGCCAAGTTGTTACCTTCCTGGATGAGCCTTGCCCCTCTCTGATTCTCACTGGCTTCATCCCTCCCTAAAAGGAAGGCTGGATGAGGTAGTGCCACAGGGTGTGTGCCTCATGAGAGGGGACCCCCAAAGCCCTCCGCCGCCGTCCCCCCGGGGCACAGGCCCACCTTGACCTGGGCATAGAAGCTTCCCAGGCTGCAGCACACGCGGCACTCCAGCATGGCGTCGTCGTTGTTGTGGGCGTAGCGCAGGGCCTTCTCGAAGCTCTCCAGGGCCTTCTGGAAGACGCTGAGGCCCAGGAAGGCATTGCCCATGCTCAGGCTGACCTGGCCTCCGAGCTGGGCACCTGCCCTGGTGCCAGGCAGCCCGAGGCAGGTCTTGCAGTAGGAGATAGTCTTGTGAAACTCGCACAGCTTCTCGTTGCTGCGCGCCAGGTTCAGGTAGCTCTCCAGGAGGAAGTCGGCATCCTCCAGCTCCCGGGCCGTGTCGATCTGGACCACAGCGAACTGCGCACCACGCGGTGGGCAGGTGGCGCTCAGCCTGGACTCTGAGCCTTGGACCGGAGGCTCCGCCCCCACCCCCCAGCCTCACACCCAAAGCAGCATCACACCCAAAGCAGCATCGTCCAAAGCTTCAGACCCAGAGCTTCCACCCGCCAGCCTCAGCTATCTTCCCCACATCCCGGCCTCACCTCCCAAGCTCAGGCACGTAGCCTTCACCTTCTACCCCAAGCCTCAGATCTGGAGTCTCCACCACCCACCTACCCCCAGCCTCAACCGTCGAGTCCACACCCCCACCAGGCTCAGATACAGAACACCAGGCAGGAAGGCTGAAATCTACACTGGGCTTGAGACCCACGAACCCTGGACCCTGAGGCCGGAAAACCTCAGTCTCAGAGTCTTGGGCTGCAGTTCAAGGCCACAGGCCTGAATCTGATGCCGAGACTCAGTATCTAACACCCAGGGCCTTAGATGTAGGTAGATTCAGAGCCTTGGGCCCCAGCGGCCAGCATGTGGGACACACAGGAGCCTGAGGAGGCCAAGAGGGGACTGGGGAGCCCGGGAGGAATGGAGCCCCAGCCTGACCCTCACACGCCTCTGGATCAGGTACACCCACCTTCAGCATCTCCTTGTAGCGGCCCATCTCCGAGTGGGCCGTGACCAGGCAGCCCAGCACGCGGAAGCGCCCCATGAGGTCCGAGCTCTTCTCCAGCACCTTCATCCACACCTCCAGTGCCTTCTCTGTCTGGTTGGACTGGTACAGCTGGAGCCCCTTCTCAATCTGCTGCTTGGTCTGGTCCTGCCCCATCCTCCCCAAGCCCTGTGCCCCACGTGGGGTGACCCCTGGTGGCTCTGTGCCTCTAGGCACTCATGGCGCAGGACTCACAGTGCCGGCTGCCCCCTGAACCCAGGAACAAAAGCAGTATGGGGTGGAAGCCGGAGCGGGGCCTGGAGGGAGAGCAGGCGCCACCCTGGGAACAAAGCTGGTTCAGCCCCTGTCTGCAGCTGTCCCTGCCAGTTGGGGCCACGTGGCCTCTGAGGAATGTCAGCAGCAAGGTCACGCAGGCCTGTGCTGCACCCACCCGCGAGCTGGGAGGTGGCTTCCCTGAGCACAGAGGCATCTTGCCACCTGGGCACCCCGTTGCGCATCCGTTCCAAACCTCCGACACTGGCCCTGACTGCCATGGCAGCACGGGCCTCCCAGGAGCCTCGCCAAGGGGCCAGCTCCAGCACTGGACAGGCCAGGGGCCAGAGGTGCTCGGGAGAAGCAGGGCGAGGGTGGACCTGAAGGTCTGGAGAAGCCGGGTGAGCGCTCAGCCCGGCTGGATCTCACCACTGGACTGTGATGAGAACTCAATGACTAATGCGTTGACAAGGACTTAGGACAGCCCGTATGTGCTGCCCCAGGCTATCTTGCTCTATGTCGGATGCCCGCCAGGGCCAGAGCCCAGCCCTTGAAATTTCAATTACGGGTCTCAATTCCAATCCCAACCCCAGTTTGAAAGGGTCCCCATAATGAGCTTTAACACCAGGTAGTGTGGAGAAGGGCAACGTCTTATGTGGTATGCCCCCCACCCTCACCCCTGCCAAGCAGGCCAGCTCATCCCGACTGGCTTCTCTCTCTGCATTCCAGCCTTCTTCCTGCCTCAGGGCAAAGTTCATCCTTTCTGGCTGGGCAATTCAGTGGTTTTTTAGTATATTCACAAAGATGCACATTAATTCCAGAACATTTGAATCACCCAGAAAGGAGACACATAGCCATCGGCAGCTACACCACTCCATTCCCCATGTTGGTATGGCTGAATCATGTCCCTCCAACCAAACGCGTATGTTTAAGTCCTAACTCTCAAAATCTCAAAATGTGATTGTATTTGGAGAAGGGTCTTTAAAGGGGTAATTGAGGTAAAATGAAGTCATATGGTATCTCATCCAGTAAGACAGGTGTCGCCCCACATTTTTTTGAAACAGGGTCTCAATCTGTCACCCAGGCTGGTGGGTACAGTGGTAAGTGCAGTGGTACAGTCTAAGAGAACGGCAACCTCTACCTTCTAGGCTCAAGGGATCCTCCCACCTCAGTCTCCTGGGTAGCTGAGACCACAGGTGTGCATCACCGCATCTGGCTAATTTTTTGTAGAGATGGGTTTCACCATGTTGCCCAGGCTGGTCTTGAACTCCTGGAGGTGGAGGTTGTAGTGAGTCGTGACTGCGCCACTGTAATCCAGCCTGAGCAACAGAGAAAGATCCTGTCTCAAAAACAAATAAATGATAAATTTTTATTTTAAAAAATTACGTTATTTTATTTTTGAGATGGAGTTTTGCTCGTTGCCCAGGCTGGAGTTCAATGGCACAATCTCAGCTCACTGCTGCCTCCACCTCCGGGTTCAAGCGATTCTCCTGCCTCAGTCTCTCAAGTAACTGGGATCACAGGCATCCACTACGTCTGGCTAATTTTTTATATATAGTAGAGACAGGGTTTCACCATGTTTGTCAGGCTGGTTTCGAACTCTTGACCTCAGGTGACCCACCTGCCTTGGTCTCCCAAAGTGCTTGGATTACAGGTGTGAGCCACCATGCCTGCCCATGAAAAAAAATTTTTTTAAGGTAGAGTCTGCTCTGTCGTCTAGGCTAGAGTGCAGTGGCGCGATCTTGGCTCACTGCCACCTCCACCTCCCGGGTTCAAGCGATTCTCCTGCCTCAGCCTCCTGAGCAGCTGGGACTGCAGGCATGCGACACCATGCCCAGCTAGTTTTTGTATTTTTAGTAGAGACGGGGTTTCACCATGTTGGCCAGAATGGTCTCAATCTCTTGACCTCATGATCTGCCCACCTCGGCCTCCAAAAGTGTTGGGATTACAGGCATGAGCCACTGCGCCCAGCCACAATAAATTTTTATTTTATTTTATTTTTTAATTTTTATTTATTTTTTTTTTTTTTGAGACGGAGTTTCATTCATGTTACCCAGGCTGGAGTGCAATGGCGCGATCTCGGCTCACCGCAACCTCCGCCTCCTGGGTTCAGGCAATTCTCCTGCCTCAGCCTCCTGAGTAGCTGGGACTACAGACACGCGCCACCATGCCCAGCTGATTTTTTGTATTTTTAGTAGAGATGGGGTTTCACCATGTTGACCGGGATGGTCTCGATCTCTTGACCTCGTGATCCACCCGCCTCGGCGTCCCGAAGTGCTGGGATTACAGGCTTGAGCCACCGCGCCCGGCCACAATAAATTTTTAAAAAGGACACACTCACATAGAAGCAGAGCACGTGAAGACATAAGGAGAATACTGCTATCTACAAGCCCAGGAGTAAGGCCTCAGAATGAAACCAACTCTGCCAACTCCTTGATCTTGGACTTAGCCTCCAGAACTGTGAGAAAACAAATTTCCGATGTTTAAGCCACCCAGTGTCTATGGACCTGTCTGTTGTGGACCCTT